TCATGCTGGGCACGGAGCAAAGGAGGGAAATGACTGAACAGCCAGAGGTGGCCCAGGCCTCCAAGGATGGCTGGCTCGCCTAATCTTACCCTGCTTCTGGCCAGGGGACCTGCAACTCCCGCTCGCACAAGGCCCCCCAGGTTCAGACCGCATGAAGCTATTCCAAGGACGAGTGTGGCAGGGAGCAGAGAGTGCTGGGGGCCCTTCAGAGAAAAGGCGCTACGGACCCGGACCTGCGAAGCGTTTTCCTGTGTCATCCTCCCCGGCGGGCCCGGGCCTGCCTGGAGCCTCAGCCACCCCTCCCGGGCTTCTGGGCCCCGCTCCTGGAGCCAGCGAGGCACTTCCCCAGCCAGGGCCTGGGGGCTGGGCTGGGGCTGTCATTCCCCTGTCACTCCCAGCCTAGCAGCAGCCAGGCTTTGCCTAAACTGATTCACTGGTGAACCTGGGAGGAGAGAGAGGATCCTAGATCAAACCCTCAGTGCTGAGGGGAGATGTCAATTCACGTCCACCTAATAACTCGCAGGATCAGCAGGCAAACACACATGTTCATTACCAATTCTAATTAGGCTGGCAGACAAGTGGCATTAATCATTTTTGACTGTACCTGGGATTCAAGCCCCTCTCACTCCATAATCAGAAAATTTCATGCTCTGATGAATAGGGGGGAAAATTAAGCCCACATTTAATCCTTTCACTTTCATCTTTTGAGAAGACAGGAAGCAGGGTGTAGAAGCAACAGAGAAGCTTGGGGAGCTCAAAAGGTCTCTCTCAAAGCATTCCAGGTCCTTCCCCTGTACCCCCACCCCTAGCTCCCCCACACTCCACTAGGACCTTTCCCAAGAAGACCCCAATTAGAGCCAGGGGCAGGCGAGGGGCTGGAAGTGGGGGATTCCACTATCTTTAACAGCACGACATCCATCTTAGTGCTTAATTTTCCTAACCTCCAAAGCCAAGCATGGGCCTGAATCAATGGCAGTACTTCAAGCCTCACACACCTCAGCGCTGCTGGGTGTGCTGGACAAATAAAGCACCAAGTGCCTAGGGTTCTGGGTCTGCTACAGGGATACTCAAGGTCAATGTCCCAGTAATCTCTTCTACAAAGGACCCACGACAAGGCCTGGGCCTGCAGGATCCAGAAGCGGTCACATGTTTGGTTCCGGCCTGCACAGAACAAGTAGTTAAGCCAACCATTCATGCAGCGACAAGACAAGGCTGCCGGACAAGGGGCCCTGGGAGATACCAGCCTCGCTCACCAAGAAAGTCCCCAGTTCTTGTCCCTGAAGGCCATCACAAATGTCTGACACTCACAGAGTAATTAACGGCTATTAGGACGATGAGCCCCAGGGTCCCCCTTTCAAGCCTGTAATTCCAATCATTTAACCTATCACAGCTCTAAACAACACCCCTTCCAGAGTGAGACTAGCTCCAGGAGCAGATACGTGGTGCTCACTGGCAGCATGCAAGGTACGTCCGAGCAACCCGCCCGGAATGTTTGGTTGGACTTAGGTTTCCCCATTCTCCCAGGGGTGTCCAACCCGCGGCCGGCGGGCTGCATGCGGTCCAGGATGGCTATGAATGTGGCCTGACACAAAATCGCAAATTTACTTAAAGCTTTTTTTTTTCCGGTCATCAGTTTTTGTTATGTTCGCATATTTATTGTTTGGCCCAAGACAACTCTTTTTCTTCCAGTATGGCCCAGAGAGTCCAAAAAGCTGGACACCCCTGGGAGACCATTCCCTGGTCCAGGATGGCTTACATATCCACTAAAAGGAGACGGGAGGTCAAAGGTCAACTCTATGTGCCTTTTACAGAGGAAAGGGTCCCTGACCTGTAAGGGACATTCTCTGAGGACAAAGCCAAAGGGCAGCATGTTGTTTGCTGTTGACCGTCCCCTCCTGGAGTGCTGGAAATGGATATTCTCCCCACTGCCCCCACCAAAACACAGGCGTTCACATAATCTTCTCTTCTCCTTTTTTCTCTCTTCTCTCTCTCCACTTCTGTCTCTATCTCTACCTCTCTCCACTCACCAATCTCCACTGGATTTCCTTCTTTACCTAACAAACAGGATTCCTTCGATCCTGGAAATTAATATTAACCCTGAACTTTCCTGCTGGCAAATCCAGCAGTAACCAGAGCTCAGTTACAGGCCTTGAAGCAGGGATAAGTTTAATTAGAGGAACTTTCACTAAAAAGGCAGGCAGACAGTTTTCTAAAAGCTTCCCTCATTAAAAGCCCATTTTGCCAGTAAGGTTCCCCCCCAGTGCCAGCTGCCTACGCAGACAGGTGTCATCCAATACCCAGGGCCCTCCTGCTCGTTTCCAAGGGCAAGGGGACTTAACAGTAATAACAAGCTGTCACCTTCATCAACCACTACTAACCGACACTGTGTCCTGTGCCTGGCACTACGCCGGGGGCAACTGATACAAAGTGCCAATGTCCTGGTGATGGCTAAGCCACTGGCACTCTGTGAGGATGCTCCTCAGCCAGCAGAAAGGAGTGACATTTCAAGAGACATTCACACCCACACTTCCTGGGATGCTCATGGCCTTGCTTCCCCATTTAGCTCAGCAACCAGGCAGAGTTTGAAAACTACCCACTGCTTAGAACGGTGATCCTAAGAGGTGCCCCGAGCCCACAGAAATTGTTACAGCTGCCAAATGGGAGGGATAATAACATTCACATGACATTAAGTGTTCGTAATGCATTTTTCAGGTACTTTCTAAGCGCGTTACCTATATCGATTCATTTAATTCTCACATTAACAATGAACTAGGTAACATTATTATCCCTATTCTTTAAAACTAGGAAGTGAAACATGGGCTCACATGGAGACTCAGTGGCAAAGTCAAGATTCACACCCACGTCTTTGGGTTCCAGGCTGTGCTATTAATTACTGCATAGTGCTACCCTGCCAAAGTTGCATTTCTGACCCTCAGTTTTCAAAATAAAAATAAAATAAACTAACCCCACCATGGAATCAGATCTTCCGCTTAAAGGGAGATGCTCAGTGAGTCCAGCCTGCGGAGTCTCCACCTGCCAGCCCTCCTCTGCACATCAGACCACATCTTAACTGTGCCCCTCCGGCCCCGTCCACAGGCAGTTCAGGATGGGTAGCGACAAGCAGAGGCTCTTCTCCACAGCCCCTCGATTCCAGGTCTGCTCCCTCTCTCTGGTACTCAAACATCCCTGGTTGGTGGTAAACCTGCATGGGGGCCACCAAGTCACACAAAGTCAGAGGAAATGTCCCTGCACCTGGGTCTTCCTGCCACCAGAAACTACGAACTCATCAAATTAAACAATTCTAATGTGAAGTGAGCAAAAATCCATTTAGTCATGGATTATCCTGCGTATTACACACACATACAAGTACACCATTATCACAACTACCACCCCACAAAAATCATAAAACTATGTGCAAAATGTTCAACAATTAAAACAGTCCCCAAATGTCTTACTACAAACTAGAATTTCAAAGAAGCTGATCTCTCCAGGATTCCTGCACAATAAAACCCACTACTGCCCCTGTGTTGATCACGTTGGTGGATGCAGTAAAGTACCCCAGGACCCTGGAGAGGGCCAAAGCTGCTTAACACCTCCAAGGGCAAACTGCATTCAATTCTACCCTAAGGTTATGACATTTACCAAATGACAGCAGCCCTCTCTTACATGCACCTCTATAACTTTCGCTTTTTCCTTTTTAATTGGCGCCTGAACTGTGAGTTCTGGTGTTGCAGGGAGCAGCACCGGCTTCCCTTCCAGTCTTCCCCTTCCACTTGCTCCTGGCTTGGAGTCAGATGCTTCCCCGCAGCCAGCTGCAGTGGGAGGTACACTGCACAGCCTCGGCTGTGGACTGACTGCAGAGAGAGAGACAAAGTAGGGTTTTCCTGATGTGCAAGAGGCTGATGCCGTCCAATGCGGCAATTGGATGAGAGCTCATGGGGGAAGGGCCTTTGCTGAAAGATGCAAACCACAACATATTTCCAGAGATGCTTGATAGAGTTGTGCCATTGTCTGTGCTTTGTGCCTCAGATATTTAAAGTATCTATATAAACACATGGATATCTTCTGCCAAACACTGGCAACAGAGAAAATGGGGGTGGAGGTGGAGAGAGGACACTCATTAAAGAAATACACACACCTAACTGTAAGAAGAGAAAAAATAATAAACCCTTAAGGACTGCAAATTGGCTGAGAAAATCTACACCCTGGGTGTTTTATAGTCAGGTCTGAGAAAAGTGTGGCTCAGGGGAGGCTGGGAGGGCCTGAGAGCTCTGGGGATAAAGGGGCAGAGGTGGGTCGCTGTAGAGCATGATGGCTGGCGCAGTCACATAGGAGGAGAGGAGGCGGCAGGTTACAGCCAAACATTAGAGCAGAGTCCAAAGGTGTGAGGGGCCAGAGACAGAAGACAGGGGGGCCACAAGTCCAGGGTGACCTCACGCTCTCTTCAGCCTCACAGCCATTTCTATTCAAAACCTAACCGCATCTCCTCCTTGTCGCAACAGGTCACCCTGGAAGGAGGGATGTACCATAGGCGGACCTGTACCATAGATGGACAAACCATTTGCTATGAACCCTAATAAGCACAGGTCAAATGGCCATCTTAATACCAGTCTCACAAACCACTCTCGAGAATCAACAACAAAAGCAAGAGTGCACTGGAGACAACAGAATGACCTTGCGGCTGCGGCCATCAAATCCCACCTGCGCGCGCGTGTGTACACACACCTGTGTGTCTGAGGAGGGGGCGAGGCACGTACCCATCAGGAAAAGAGGTATTTGTTACCTCAGAACCTTATGTGGGCAACAGGCAATCACGGAAGGATACGGAGCAGGGGACTAAAGAGCGGAGTCTCCAGGGTTTATCTCTCTTAGTTAGAGTAGAGGTGTCCCCGGAGCCGGAGAGGGCAGTGCCCCCTCTCTCTGCCCAGCCCTGCTCAGTTCCTCGCCCCTGGACTGCGGTCTTCCCGCGCGCCCCTCCCCTGCCCGGCCCTCACACTCACTAGCGCAGCGCAGCGCCTGCCGCAGCACCTCTCGTCCGCACAGGTCGCACCAGCCCCGGCCGCTCCGTAGCGACAGTTCCGTGAAGCAGTGCCCTTCGCCTCGCTCCGCCGGGACGCGGGGATCCTGCGGCTGCTCGAAGATGCTCCGCACGTCTCGGGGCCGGGGCGCTCCGGGCCGCCGCCGCAGTCTCTGCTGCAGACCAGGCCGGAGAGGGCGAGCGGGACGGGAGGCCCGGGGTGGGGGCTCCAGGTCCCCGCGGGCAGCCTTTCGGGCGCCGCGCCCCTCGTGCGCCCCGGGCGCAGTGGAGATGGGCGCGGGGGCGCAGCGGCGGGAGGACCGGCTGGGCGGCGGAGCGGGTGGCTCCGGGCCGCTCAAGCTCTGCAGATAGCGCGGCGGTTCTGGATCCAAGAGCAGCCGATACGGGCGCTGCCCGATGGCCGGGGACGCCATGACCATACCCGGTGCGTGGCAGCGGCGCTTCTCCCGAGTTTGCCTCGAGAGGAGGGCGGCCCCAGACCAGGGCTTTTAAAGGGACCGCAGGCTGCGGGGCGGGGCAGGGGCGGGGAGACTCCGGAGAGGCAGGAAGGACGACCCCGGGGAACCACCGGCCGATGGAGCCGCTGGGTCGGCGATGGGGGGCGCCCGAACGAGTGTGGATTTCGGGGCGTCTTCCGGAAGCGGACTGGATAGCTGAAGGATTTTGTATGGGAAAGGCTCTATTCGGTACAACTCCGTCTGCCTTCAGCCCTGCTTCAGTCCCTCTCGCATCTCTTCCCCCCACACCGGTTCGCTTCTACTCGCACCCCAACACGCCCAGGTGAGGGGGCGGGCGGAAGGGACCGCTTAACATCTAGCAAGAGGTGGGGTCTACGGAAAGGTCCACCCCGAGGCCTCTGCCCGGCGCCTTCCAGACTTTCAGCGAACCCGAGGGTCGTGCCCCTTGCGTTTCCCCCCCGCCCCACCGACCCCCGTCACGGCCCGCGCCCGCGCGCCCGCGTCCCCGCGCCCCCGCGTCCCCGCGCCCCGAGCTGACCCCCGCGCGGGTCCGGAACGCCCGGCTTCCGCTTGCGCTCCCACAGCCGCGCGGAGTCCCGTGACGCGCGGCGACGCTCCCAAGCTGGGCGCGAGAAGCCGCCCCCGCGGCGGGCGCGACTGTCCGCGTGCGACTTTCACTCTCCTTGGATTTCCCCTCTGTCAGCATCCCTGCCCGGCAGGATATTCCTTTCCTGGAAACGGGGGTTAGGGCGATCGAGGGCCTTGGACTGTGAGAACACTCCAGCAGCCCTTGGGTTGGGAGAGCTGCTCCTAAATCAAACCCGTGTTTCCCGGTGTCTGTTCTGGTAGTTACCGTGGGAAACCAGCCCCCCAAGGCCCCCCTTTGCATCTGTGAAGAACAGCTCACCGGAGGCACGCGAAGGCAGGTTGTATTTGCTACCACACCGTGACCAACGCACTAACTCCCAGCCCCTTTTAATGCTCTGCTGTCACGGTCTTGATAGTCTTAATAATTTTTGAACAAAGCGCCGAGCATTTTCTTTCTGCACTGGGTCCCGCAAATTATGTAGCGGGTCTTGATCCTCTCTCGTTGGTGAGGAAACGGGGCTCCTGTATCTTTGAACGTGTGTCCTGACCCAGACCAGCGGCTGCATGGCCGTGGCCCTCTTTAGCGTCTAGTTTTCTTAACAAAATCCGTCTGGGAAGGAGGAGACAGACGCCATCTGCAGCGCTCGCCACTTCCGCCACTGTGACCCAGTGCTCACTACCTGCCTCGTAAAACCCGGGTTCGGTTTGGTGGGTTCATCAGGGGTCTCCAGCAACGAACGCTGGGAATATTCTGAAACCTTTGAAACCTCAGATTCCCCCGCCTCTTCCCAGGCTAGAAATGGGTCTCCCCCTAGTGCCTGGTGGGGGGATCTTCACTTTGCCTTTCGTTTTCCCCTTGGAGTAATTTTTAGGTAATTCTTAACATTCGAGTGGGTGGTCAGGGAATTCCCAGCCTACTTTGGTCCTTGACCTCTCCCTCGTGGCAGGGATCACCATGGAGTGCTCTGCCTTTGCAGCAGAGGTCATGTCGCAGGGGTCCTGGGTCTCACCTGAAGCTGGAGCTTCTGGAGCTTCTTACCTCATGAGGCGGTATTCGGGTAGAGAGAGGAGTAACCACAGCAGCCAACGCCAGACCGTGGGGCTGCAAAGGGAAGGCATTGCGATTCGGGAGTGTGAGCCGCCTTTCCCTCCTCACGTGCCTTTCCTCTCCCGTCTGAACCTTGCTTTCTCTCCATCACTGGTTTTCAAACTTGGAGATGCGGGGTAGGCAGTCCCCTGGAGGGCTTGTTACATCACTGATTACTCCCCCACTTCCCCCTGCACCGCCCCCCCCCCCACAGAGTTTCTGAGCCAGTAAGTCTGGGGCAGGGGGTTGAGATTCTGCATTTTTAATAAGTTCCCAGGAAGTGTTGATGCTGTTGGTCCAAGGACCCCCTGGTTCCGCTCTAAGGTAGTGATAAGACAATGGGCTTCTCCATTCTTTTCCCGACCGGACAGGTGAGGTTCAGCGGACATGACTGAGGAAAACCCAGCAAGAGGACTCCTCCCGGATGCCTTTGGCTGCATGTTTAGAAAGCAAAGCACAATTTGCCTTTGTGCTCTCCTATTCCCACCTCTCCCACTTTTTCTGCAGGCAGGCTCTTGGGGTTGTGCAGAAACCTGTATTGCTTGTAAATATTTGTTTGTGTCTGCCCTCTGTTATACGTCCATCTCCACGGGCCCGAGACTCGTTCTGGAGCTCACTCCCCCCAGGAGGGCCGTGGGCTGGGTGGGGTGCAGGGCATGGGCCCGGTGTGAGCTCTGGGTGCCAGCTTGGTGTGGCGAGAAGAAGAGGGGGCCTGGCAAAGAGTTCATCACTGGAAAGCCGGTTTTCCAATGTCATTTGTGAAACAATTGCCAACAGTCACATCTCTGCCCTTCACCCCCATGCGCGGCCACCAAGCATGAGGTGGGGGAGTGCAGGCCAGGTTCTCTGGGTAGAGGGGTTCATGGGATGAGTGTCTCCTCTGGCCCTGGGAGCCTGGGAACTACCTGGAACAATCGAGGTAAACCCCGTGCAGGTTGCCTGAGCTGTACAGAACATTCCTCTGGTTTCTGTTTTCCCAAGGCCGCTCTGCAGCAGGAGGGGCGGCTGCTCCCAGCAGTGAGTCGGGGAGGAGGCCGTGCAGGGCCAGAGCCATACATTTGGCTTCTGGGATGGGAACAGAGATGAAAATGGAGATAATATAACTTCATGTAACCAATCCAAAAGTTTATTAAGTTTATCTTAAGGTTCATCTCCCTGAGCTAAGCAGTTAAGGCCTGGAGAAGTAGTTGCCTCTCCCGAACCCAACAGGAGACTCCCTGCCTGGGACCTGTTCCTCCTTCGAGGCCAGTCCCTTGTTCCTTGAAAAAGCGTCACCTCCCTCCCACAACACACACATGCACATGTACACACATGCATGTGCACAGCTCATTGCTCCCTCCCCAGGGAAGTACTAAAGCAGCTCTATTCTTATTGTAGGGTCAGCACGGTGTCTGCTGTTGAACGTGAGCATTGTTGGGGTCCCTCTTTGTCACGCAGGCTACAAGGGTAAGGCCACAGCGCCACCAAGACACCTCTGCTGGGAGTTTTTCCCTATGTCAGCAGATCCTCTTGGCCCAGAGCCATGGACTTTTTTCTGTCTGTGGCTCACTCCCAAGAGAATGGGTATGCTGTTTTTATTTTTGACTAAGCAGAAGGATTATGACAGTGAGTTTGAGTGTGTGGCCAGTGTGCGAGGCCACTTCCGAGGTGGTTCCAGAGTGTGACAGTTCCCCCATGGGGTGAGTTGTTTCATGGCTGCCCCCAGCCCCCTCCCAAGCTTTCTAGAAGGAAGGAAAAGGGAAGGACACATGGGGCCTGACTTTCTGAAGGGGAAGTTTTTGGGTCTGTTTGGTTTGAGGCTTTTGAAGTCTCCGGAAACCCCCAAAGCCTTTAGGGACCTTCCGGTGATTCTGATAGCACTGCTCTCCCCACAGGGCCACTGGGCCTGTCAGGCCAGATCGGGTCACACTGCAGTAATAAACAACCCCCAGACCCCCGTGCCTGTAAACCAGAGACTTCTTCTCACGCGCATTTCATGCCCTCTGCTGTTTGGAACGGGACTGTGCATCGAAGCTCGCCGGGGACCCAGGCTGATGGAGCAGCCACCACATCTAATGTTGCCAGTCACCATGCCAGAGGGAAGCCGAGAGGGTCTGGAGGGTCCTACATCCGCCTTTAAAAGCTCCAGTCACTTCCACTCACAACTCATTCATTGGCCAGACCTACAGCTCACCTGCACTAGGAGGGCCAGAAGTACAACCCTGCCGCATGCTCCGAATGGGAAAAGAGCTTGAAATATTTAGCCAATAGCAGTCTTCAAGGGCATGGAGCAGCGATTCGTTTGACAAGTAATTATTTAATATCCACCACATAGTAGGTGCTGTTCTAGGCGCTAATGGTACAGCAATGAAATAGACGTGTTCTTGACACACTTTAGTGGTAGGGCCAGATAATAAACATACAAACATAAATGTAATATACTATCAGGTTAAGTACTATGATGAAAAATGAGGCTCGGTAAGGGGGTAGAGCATGACAGGGCCCATGTTAGATTCGGCGGTCTCTGGGGAGCAGGCATTTAAACACGAACCTGAATGGGCTGGGCCGGTCGCCTCCCTAAGCGAGGGTACAGGGTGAGGAAACAGAAGGCACGACAGTCCCTAAGCTTTCCCAAACCTTGTGACCGAGTTTGTTCTAAATGTATGTTCCCAGTTTCCAGAGGCTGATTCGGCAAGTCCGGATATTGGCCTGTATTTTATAAGAGCCTGATCAATGTGACTCACAGACCACATTTTGCAAATGGGACCAAAGCGGTGTGTTGTGTGTTTGTGAGATTGTGTGACCCTCTGTAGACATTTGAGGGAACATGCTCTGACCCTTGTTAGCCACGGATTCCAGCTCTCCATGCTACTTCTTTCCTTCCTGGGCAGCTGGTTACACACAGAGCTCAGCCTCCCAAGGAAGGAGGTGTTGCTGGCAATGTGTAATGAGGGTCGGTCATACCTTCCATTACTGGACTCTGAGCAGGCACCAGGACAGAACGCTGTCAAGGAATTAAAATGTTTGTGAAAGTCCCTTGTAATATGTGACGTGTATTGAATACCTACTGCGTGGCAGGCACTCTTTGCCTGAATGACTTCATCTTCATGGCCACTCTGTGAGATGGCCCGCATTCCTATCTCACAGGTGAAAAGATTGCAGCTCAAAGGAGCCGTGTGACTGACCGCAAAAGGCGTCACAGTCTACTCAAACCCTTGATTTTGCCTTTGCACTGCCTACCTGGTGTGGTCAAAGTGGCGGCGTTTACACATCTCTGATCTTACTTGGCAGGTGCAGTTTAAAGACC